GAAAACAACAGTGTCCTCTTCACCAGCCCCAATGTGACCACACGTCTGCTGCAGCTCATGTACAGTACTCACAGTTTCTTTGGGAACTATACTTGTGGTATCATCCTTCCCCACATGCAGGACAGATGGATGTTTCCTGTGGCACACTTCACAATCCAAACGATTTCCACAAAATTTGCTTGTGTGTCCATATTTTAAACGTCCAAAACACACTCCTTTCTCCTTTAGAAACTGTATTTTGTCCTGCTGTTTCCTTTTTTTAAACTGAAAGCATTTGTTCAGAGTGTGATTAGTAAGCTGGCAGAACAGACACTTGAGCTGGCTACTGATACTTTTTCTTTTCTTTAGATCCAACCCTCAGCGCATTGATGTTTGTCGCAAAGGAACCACTTTTCCTTTTGTGTTTTACTTGTGTGGATACCTTTGTGTGGCTGGCTGGAGAAACATCATGAAGGTTTCCGAACAGTGGGTCCGAAACAATTTTTACTTGGTTTTCAATAAAATTGTCAAGATCACCAAACACTGCTCTGCTGCCAGTTCGCTCCAATATGTCAGACGCCACATCTCTCCACTTTTCCCTCCACTTATACGGGACTTTGGCTAAAATTGTCCTCAGGTTGGTTGGCATGTCCAACTCCTTCATGTACTTTATATGATGGACCATGTTGGAACAACCTCGAAGAAACAAAGCAAATGACTGCAGAGCCGCAACATCCTCAGGTTTTATTGGGGCCAGTTGTTGATTTTGTCCATGTATGCAGAAGAGATTTTATGTTCACTGCCAAAATGTTCAGTCCAAAGTGCCTTTGCTCTTTGGTAACCAAGTTCAGAGGGGAGATGCTGGCAACTTCTTACAATATCCCTCGGTTGCGCTCTGGTATACTGTTCTAGGAAGTACAAGCAGTCACTGAGATTTTGAGTTTTGCTCTCAATACAATTTTCAAAGGCTTTTAGAAAGGATTTAAAATACAGTGGGTCACCATCAAAAACAGGAATATTTCTCATAGGCAAAGCAGAAGCTGTAATTTGTTGAATCAACAGAGCAGTGATTTCATTTTGACGCTGCATTATATTCACAATGTCTGGAACGTTACTTGACGGAACACTGCCATGAGTATTTTGCAAAACAGGTGAATCATTACTTTGTCTTTGAGGAACATCAATGACATTTTTCTTAGGAACTTGTATTTCCACATGCTTGGGTTTGACACTGACGATGGCAGAATCAAATGGAAGGCTGGGTGAAAATGCAGGACTTTGACTGGCTGGCACAAAATGTTCAGCATTTGGAGTTAGTCCATTTGTTTCTTTAGTTTTTGACTTTTCCAAGTAAGAATTCATGCCATCTGATGCAAGGACACGCTTTGACGCCCTTGAGCCACATTTTGAATTTACTTCCAGAACCTCCAGTTTTGCATTTGTCACTTTTATTTCTGCCTCCAGAGCCAGTTGCTCCTAGCCTGGCAAGCCAGACTAGCAAGAATTTAGTCTAGTTCACTAGGCTAAGTTGCTCCCTTTCTCTTCTTAAATGTTCCCGTTTCTTTCGTAATTCCTCTTGTTCCAATTTTATTTGTTCCTCCTGCGCCTCCAAAAGGTGCTTTTGTTTTAAGGCAGTCATGCACTCCTCTAATGCTGCTTTCTCTGCTTGTGCCAATAATTTTGCTGATGCCGTAGATGAAACCTTGGAGACTTTAGACTTTATTTTGGAATGTGCTGTGTTACAATTATTTGATGCACTGTCATCGGGTCCCATCTCATTTTGGATTTGGTTGTCAGGAGGCTTAATACAAAATTCATATGAATGGCCAACATTTGATAACCACCCTTTGACATCATCCGCAAAGTTCAAAAATACTTTTTTCTTTTCATCAAAATATGTATTTTGTTTTTCTCTTTCATCCTGAGGTAAGTCCAGCGACATGAATGACAAATGATGTTGTTTTGGCTCATCAACACAAATTATCATTCCATCCAAAAGAGACTTGAATTTATCAATATTGTCTGCAGAATGCATCAATCCATCCATTTGTTTCATGCATGTTTTGGTTTGTTTAAATTTCATTGATTGTTTTTCTTGGCACGTTTGTATGAAAAACATCAATCCTTTCGGAGTAAAACCAGTGCGCCTCTTTGATGAAAGCGCCACCTGAGTGTCACTTGCGGCTTTGGCTGCCACTTCAGACAATATGGATCACTGATGTTGAACAGGTGCACACATTTAATTGCAACGATTGGTGAGAGACATACCTTGCAACTCGGTGCTTATCCGGCGTGGCTAGCCTTTGCGCACAGAGTCGGGTGCGCCATTGGTTTCCTTTGCGCGCAGCCGTGTGCGTCAGCTGTGATGGCCTCGGGGCTTGGCCCGTGCAGATTGTGACGAAAAGTCTTCCTCCATGCGGTAGATGCGGCTCCAGCGCTCCAACAGCGTCACCGCTGTCCAATACGGCATCCAGGGGAGCTTCGTGTCAGATGCATCTCACCGCGTTGTTTGCACCATGCCCGGCTCACACAGCCTCCACTCCTAGGCCCAGCCCTTGTCCTCATCTCCACCGTCCAGGTGTGCGATCCTGGCTTTCAAAAAGATGATCCACGCGAACAAAAACGGTCCAAGTTCCAAATAAGCAAAACAATTTGCTTCCGGGGGGAGTTTTTTTTTTTTTTTTTACTTGTGTAGTGGCTATTTGTCCATAAAACTTAAACCAAAAAATAATCAAATACTTTCAAATGGCCACTGGGCTACGTCATGGGTTAGATTTTACGCACGGGTAAAAAGATTTCAAATCAGTCAATGTCCATGCCAAAATTGCGTTTGGTGGTGGTTTATTCACACAAGAGCACAGATTTTTTGCGTCCTCTCTGTCTCTGTGGTAAAAAAAAACCCACGTCCCCTCGCAGCCCTGGCTGCTCCACCCACCTTGACCTATTTATACAAATAATCACCCACACCTGACCAATAAACAATAAACTAATTAGCCAAAATAATAAATAAAAAGCATAATGCAAAACAAACAAATGAACTTTAGCATAAAATAAAGAAAATAAACTAGGCTATAACTTAAGCCTATATTAAACTAAATAGCTTCAACACAGATTTCATCCTCGGCCAGCTGGGGGATCATCAGTGTTTCTGCTTTTAAAGAGGCTGAAGAGGAACGTAGTCTTTGTTTACAATCTGTGCTGCCTCTATGCGTCCTGGTTCTAGAGTCAATCATCCGTGAGCCAGCTATTTGGTCAAGTCTGTGCTGACATTTATAATTTAACACCAACTGGTAAAGAGCAATAGATTTGTGGAATGTTAAACAGTAAAAGGAGTGGCCCAGAAGTTATTTCTTGTATCCCTAAGAAGCCTTGGCATCTTAAGCACTTTTTACAGGACACAATTTGCTAGAAAATCGGCGTAATATTACTGAAACGATGTGTCTTTAAACATGCAATGCTAGCATTACTTGGCGTTACTTCATGCACCTTTAAGACAGTTTAATTCCCTTTAGATGTGCATCTTTTAAAATGAATACATTTAAAACAAAGTAATAATTAAAGTCTGTTTAAAGTCTGTTTAATCTAATAATATTTATGCTTGTAAATAATCACGCATTGTGACATTCATCATGTATAAGTTTAGCTGTTTTAAGCAATGTGGTATTTGCTGCATTTAGACTAGCCATTAGCTTATCAATCCTGTCAGATGTAATAATTTAAACTTTAAAACAAAAACACATTTTAAAATGCTAGTGATAGCATTTTCCAATTAGTTTATTTAAAAGAAATAAAATATAAACCAAAAATACCTTTTGAGTTAATTTCAACAGGTTTTGTCTGCATCACTGCACAATGTGTAGCTATTTCTATGTGCACACAAAAATAAGATGTGCAAAAGTCTTGAACCACTCCTTATCTTTTTTTGCCACTCCAATGGAGACAGTTATTTTTTTGTATTTTGCAATAAAAAATGACCAATCAAACATTCAAACACACATAGAGGCAGCTGAACTCAAGCGATTGTTTCTGCTACGTAACAGAAAACATATCAAAGTTTTAAATGTTTGTTGCTTCTACAGAAGATCTACTTTGTAAACTGACAGAAGCTTTCAGTTTTAAATTGGGTCAGTAAAACAGAAGATTATCATTCAGGCCAAATTAAAACATACCCATTGTGTCATTCTGTTTTTCTTTTCTTTTCTTAGACTCAGTGGTGGTAGGAACTTGGCCAACACACACACACACACACACACACACACACACACACACACACACACACACACACACACACACACACACACACGCACGCACGCGCACACACACACACACGTGCACACACACAGCAAGATGGGGCAAGGGAGGCTGTCTGTGTCTCCATACTCATCTTTATTCCATTTGGACATTAGCCTCCTGTGTGTGTGTGTGTGTGTGTGTGTGTGTGTGTATGTGTGTGTGTGTGTGTGTGTGTGTGTGTGAGCACATTTAGCCACAGGGCTATGAGTTTGTTTCAAGCCAGAAAGAAATAAGAGTACAGATTTTGATTTCTCTGTATTCTCTGAAATGAGAAACTCTTGGCCTAATAAACTTGGCACCAGACATAAGCTTTTTGCATAAGCCTTGCAGAGACGGGCTCCACCGTGCTGGGGCAAGAGATGAAATTAACTATTTCTCAGAGAAAAGTGTGACATTTTGTTTCAATTTAAATAAACAATTTGATCTGGATGAAATTTACTAGTGTAAATTTTGATCTACAGGACAATTTAAAAAATGCAACAACACTAAAAGCTGCAGTTTAATAAGTAGCAACACTTCTAATTCGAACTTTAACCTTTTTCTGTGAAATTTTCTGAAACGCAGGCAATAGAACATAGATCCCAGTTATTTAGTCCTTTTGAGTTTTTCCCTTCTAGGACACTAATGGATGATCATAGAGAAGGTAATAAAAAATCCACCGTATCTGCTTGAACTCAAAGCGATGGGTGTATTTATTTTTTTATTTTTTTTACATTTTTCTGCTAAAGGAAGCCTTTCTAAGCCCTTATACTCCTCAGGTAAGTGCTTTTATTTAGGTTTCTCCCATTCAGAGTTATGGTGTGAGTGATGTTACTTCCTTGATGCCTCTAATTTAACCTCAGTACTTAAAAAAATCATCTTTACTCTCAGGAACCCCGTGGTGTGCCCCCATTAAGTTGAAGCATGGGGACGTCAGCTGTCGCACGCCTAGAGGGGAGCATTACAGGAACGTGATGGGGACTCGCTGTAAGATCCACTGCAAGCGCGGGTATGAATCCCAGAACTCTGAGGTGGTGTGTATGGCAAGCAGACACTGGTCCTCCAACTACGCTTGCAGAGGTGAGAAAACACACACACACGCACACACCCTCAGCAAACTTCAACTTGACACGGCTGATTGATTATTGGTTTATCATACAGAAGCCAACATTTCTGTTGTAAGATTGATCATTTTTGAGCTGAAAATATATAATTTTGGACAAGAAAGAGTTGGAGATTATTAAAACCCTCCAAAGCTGATTGGAATACAGATGATTGACCTGCAGATGAGTTTAGCCAGGCAGCCAATTAATTTTGGTAAGATAATCTTGTTTGGTCAGGAACTGGGGTCTCATTTATCAAACATTGCGTAGAATCCTTACTAAAACCGTACTTAAGCTCAGCAAAAAAATGTACTTATGCCAAGTAGGTTTGTGATCTATCAAACGTGGAGTACGCACAGCTGCACGCAATCTCCGCTTCATAAATCGGAGACTAACGAGAATGTTTCTCAGCTGCTTTTAGTCACATCCCGCCCTCACCACGCCCACTTACTGCCATAAATGATCAATGCAAAGTGCCTTGTGGATCTCATGCATATACATAAGCCGGCTTGTTGCAACATTTCAATCACGACCACAGATCAAGGAAGCGCTATTTCACAAGCAGAAATTCAGGTAACTGTGGGTGAGGTGGAGAAATGAAAGGAAGTGCTTTTGCAAAACAAATAAGACAAAATCCACAGAGTGGCACAGCGTTGCTGAAGCCGTCAATGCTGAGTTCTTCAGAGAGATCTGTGGCGGATATAAAAAAAGATCCGATTTGAATTTGATCCCCAGACTCCCGGGTGAAAGTCTCGCACGTTAACCAGTCAGCCAAACATAGATCTCCCTTGTCCAAGTAGCCAGGGCGCATGATCAATCTGGTCACAGTGAAAGGACACACACTGTCACAGACGCATGACATTCTGTCTCAATCTGTCCCCCTGCTGATAATCTGCATTCTGTATTCTACGCTTCAGGCTGTGTGTGTGTGTGTGTGTGTGCGCGCGCGTGCGTGTGAGTGTGTGTGCATGTGTGTGCATGTGTGTGTGTGTGTGTGGGGGGTCTTGTTCTGTGTGAAAACGAAGCAGTACAAGTAATAATGCTGCAGGATTTCATAATTTTATCCTTCTCAGCAGCAGCACTGCAGGTGCTCCATGCCCAACATGTGCGTAAGCCAGGTCTTTATTCAACTTAAAGTTGCGTACATTTTTCTGCTAAGTTTTCTTTCTTAAATCCCAAAGTTTGTGTGGAAAGTAGCTTACGCAGTTTTCCTACCCCGTTTTGTGCGTAAGCAAGCTTGATAAATGAGGCCCCAGGTCTTTAGCCAGTTTTAATCTGTAAATGGGACATATTCTGTAAAACTCACCTTTTGCATACTTTTGTGCTGCAATGAGGGTCTTTGCTGCCTCTATAAACACTCCAAACATGGGGAAAGAAATCAGTCCATACATTTTTGTCAGAGTTTGGTTTTAGGAATTATGTGCCTGAAACAAGCCATTTCAAAAAGTCCCTGTTTGTGATGTCATAATCAGAGAAACTAGAATAGAACCACCTATTCTCTCTCTCATGTGCAAGCAGCTCAAGTCAGAGCCCATCCCAGACATCTGAACTTCTCAGCCTATAGCAGCTTGAGTGGGGGTATGGGCATGGCCAGCTCCAGCTTATTTTCTTTTAGTGACAGAGCCCTGAAATGGCTCATTCTGTCAGGTACTGAAAATGTCAAGAATAAAACGGATTAAATTACTTCATGTGAGAGGGATTTAGTAAAAATTCCTTCAAAATCATGTTTTGTATCGACCATAGAACTATTACAACTGAAGAAAAAAGTCATAACCTTTAACCTCCTGGGAAAATATCATGAAGAGTGGTGGATGAGACTATAAGCAAAACATAGCAACAAATCTTCAGGAGTTTTTTATGCAAATATATCTGTGAGTTTTAACTTCCTTTTCTGATTTGTTGACCTGTTTAAACTCCAAATCCCTAACTCGGAGCTCTTTCTGCTGACAGAAATCCGCTGCCCGAAACTTGAAATGCCTATTAACGGTGGCTACAAGTGCTCAGATGGCTCCTACTTCAACTCTCGCTGTGAGTTCTTCTGCTCGCCTGGATACACTATGAAGGGCCAGAAGACGGCAGTCTGCCAGCACAGCCATGTGTGGAGTGCTGCAGTCCCCACATGCATCGGTAAGCCTGTTCGGACTATGATTTTAGTCTTCCACCAGGGAATCCTGAGGCACAAAGTCAGTCACAGCTCCTAAGTCATGATCTATGACAAAATTGTTTCCTCACACGTTTTTGTGATTGATGTTTGGAAGAAAACAAGCCTAACAACCCTGTAGGCAGTTTTGTCCACACACCATAAACTTTCACTGTTTTTACGTTTGTTTTTGCCAGAGTCTGAGCTGAAAACAACAGCAAGCTGAGAGATCTGAATTCTCTGAACATTTAAATGACAGAACAGTTTTTTAGCTACTGTCAGAGTTTTACCTCCAGCCAGCCTGATATGGCATAACGTCTGCTGCACCTTCGTCCACAAGGACACTCTTGACTCATTTTGACTGCGTATTGATTTATTTGATTTCTGTGTCGCCCAAAAAGGTCATTTTGTCTTGTTTCCGATGCTTCTGGCGTATCTCTGGGCTTTGCCGTGTTTGATAAATCTTCAGGTGTTTTTGGTCTAACACAGAGACAAAAATGAGGCAAAAAATATGCAAACACCCACAGTTGAATTTGAATCATAGTTTTGTCCAACATGCATGGTTTTGGACTGTGGGAACAATTAAGCCAACATCTTTCACTAAAGTATTTAAATATTTATGTTTTTCTGTAGATGTGGAATCTCCCAAAATCAAGTGTCCCAGTGTGAAGGACAAATGGGCAGACCCAGGAAAGCTGACAGCTAGGGTGACGTGGGACACGCCAGAGGGCGTTGACACGGCAGACGGGATCCTTACAGAGTCAGTCTCAGCAGATCCTCTTACGCTTCTGTCCCGTTTTGCTTCTGTGCTCTTGTGTTAAATCCTGTTCAAAAATGGAGATCTCAGTGAAAGATTCATCCTGAGCATGTGGTTTGCAGTGTTATCCTGAAAGGACGACCTTCAAAATCTGACTTCCCAGAAGGCCTCCATAAGATGACCTACACTGTGTTTGATCGGGCCGGGAACAAAGGGTCTTGCCATTTCTCTGTCAGAGTTCGAGGTGAGCTTGTAAAACGGGAAACATCTTCTCAAAGAAAATAAATAAAATCTCCGGCGCACAAGGATCAGGTTTGCTGTATTTCTCTATGCAGTGCGTCGCTGCAGCCCGCTGTTTCCCCCAGACAACGGTTACATGAAGTGTGACAGCGACGGAGACAACTACGGCGCTACCTGTGATTTCACCTGCACCGGCGGCCATGAGCTGCACGGCAGTGCTGCAAGAGTGTGTCAGTCTGCGCTCACCTGGTCCGGTTTGGACACAACATGTGCACGTATGTACCATAACACACTCACTCATGCATGCACGCGCGCACACACACACACACTACAGAAATACAAACTCTTTATGTTTATAACCCTAACCAGCTCATGCATAAAATAAACCACAGATGTGTACAGCTTTTTTGAGGCAGAAGTGAAAAGAAATTTGTTTATCTTGACAAAATTTTGACACAAATTCACTCAAACTTCCATTTAGTTTTTTCTTTATTTCTAATGCTGCTGCAGCCATTAGTGCTTGCAAATAATAGAGTTACATATAAATAACAACACAAAGCAAAACTTATGACTGAATTAGAAAATGTTTTGCATGAACTGCCAAATAAATCTTCAAAACTTTAGTTTGGTTTTAATCTTTTGTAGGCAGCGAAATGCTCTTTTATCTTGGGCCCGCCCAGACTCGCTATTAGGTCATCAGTCCAGTCAGAACTAATCCGTTTTCTCAAACTGAGTCAATCCATAATAGTTCACTGAACTGCTCTTTGGCCTGTCTGGCCATCAGTTTAATAACAAAAATTACATTTCTATGTGAAGCGGCTGGGATGAGGTGTTTTGTTATTGGACTTCTGTGCAAGCCGCAGTTTTTCCATAACGAACACCATGTTCGAACATAAGGATGCCCACCGGTACACTTGGTACCAGGGCAGCCTAGGTCACAGGTCGATGATAGATTTTGTAGTCGTATCATCTGACCTGCGGCCGTATGTTTTGGACACCCGAGTGAAGAGAGGGGCGGAGCTGTCAACTGATCACCACCTGGTGGTGAGTTGGATCAGATGGCAAGGGAACATGCCGCGTAGACCTGGCAGACCCAAACGCATAGTGAGGGTCTGCTGGGAACGCCTGGCAGAAGAACCTGTCAAGACGGTCTTCAACTCCCACCTCCGGCAGAGCTTTGACCACGTCCCGAGAGCAGTGGGGGACATTGAGTCCGAGTGGGCCTTGTTCCACTCTGCGATTGTCGAGGCGGCTGTTGCTAGCTGTGGTCGTAAGGTGGCCGGTGCCAGTCGTGGTGGCAACCCCCGTACCCGCTGGTGGACACCAGAGGTTCGGGGAGCCGTCAGGCTGAAGAAGGAGGCCTACAGGGCGTGGCTGGTCTGTGGGTCTCCGGAGGCAGCAGACAGGTACCGGATAGCCAAGCGGGGTGCAGCAGTGGCAGTTGCCGAGGCAAAATCTCGGGCGTGGGAGGAGTTTGGTGAGGCCATGGAGAAAGACTATCGATCGGCTCCAAAGAGGTTCTGGCAAACTGTCCGGCGCCTCAGGAGAGGAAGGCAGCAACTCGCTCACACTGTTTACAGTGGGGATGGGGAGCTGCTGACGTCAACTGAGGCTATAGTCGGACGGTGGAAGGAATACTTTGAGGAGCTCCTCAATCCCACCAATGCGCATTCCGAGGAGGAACCAGAGCTGGGAGGCCTGGGGATGGACTGTCCGATCACGGGGGCAGAAGTTGCTGAGGTAGTCAAACAACTACACAGCGGCGGAGCCCCGGGGGCGGATGAGGTTCGTCCTGGGTATCTCAAGGCTATGGATGTTGTAGGGCTGTCATGGTTGACACGTCTCTACAACATTGCGTGGTCATCGGGGGCAGTTCCTAGGGAGTGGCAGACCGGGGTGGTGGTCCCCATCTTTAAGAAGGGTGACCTGAGGGTGTGTTCCAACTATAGGGGGATCACACTCCTCAGCCTCCCTGGAAAGGTCTACTCCAAGGTACTGGAGAGGAGGGTCCGATCGATAGTTGAATCTCAGATAGAGGAGGAGCAATGTGGTTTTCGTCCTGGCCGTGGAACTGTGGACCAGCTCTATACCCTTGCAAGGGTGATGGAGGGGGCATGGGAGTTTGCCCAACCAATCCACATGTGCTTTGTGGATTTGGAGAAGGCTTATGACCGTGTCCCCAGGGGCACCCTGTGGGGGACGCTCCAGGAGTATGGGGTGGGTGGCTCTCTGTTAAGGGCCATTCAGTCCCTTTACCAGAGGAGCGTGAGTTTGGTCCGCATAGCCGGTAGTAAGTCGGACCTGTTCCCAGTGGGGGTTGGACTCCGCCAGGGCTGCCCTTTGTCACCGGTTCTGTTCATCACTTTTATGGACAGAATTTCTAGACGCAGCCGTGGTGTGGAGTGTGTCGAGTTTGGTGGCAGGAGAATCTCGTCTCTGCTTTTTGCGGATGATGTGGTCCTCCTAGCTTCATCCAGCTCTGACCTTCAGCTCTTGCTGGGTAGGTTCGCGGCCGAATGTGAAGCGGCTGGGATGAGGATCAGCACCTCCAAATCTGAGACCATGGTTCTCGACCGGAAAAGGGTGGCTTGCCAACTCCGGGTCGGGGGAGAGGTCCTACCTCAAGTGGAGGAGTTTAAGTATCTCGGGGTCTTGTTCACGAGTGAGGGTAGGAGGGATCGGGAGATCGACAGGCGGATTGGTTCGGCGTCTGCAGTGATGCGGACACTGAGCCGATCTGTCGTGGGGAAGAGGGAGCTGAGCCAGAAAGCCAGGCTCTCGATTTACCGGTCGATCTACGTCCCAATCCTCACCTATGGTCATGAGCTTTGGGTAATGACCGAAAGAACGAGATCGCGGATACAAGCGGCCGAAATGAGTTTCCTCCGTAGGGTGGCCGGGCTCAGCCTTAGAGACAGGGTGAGGAGCTCGGATATTCGGGAGGGACTCGGAGTAGAACCGCTGCTCCTCCGGATCGAAAGGAGCCAGTTGAGGTGGTTTGGGCATCTGGTCAGGATGCCTCCTGGACGCCTCCCCGGGGAGGTGTTTCGGGCATGTCCTGCCGGCAGAAGGCCCCCGGGTCAACCCAGGACACGTTGGAGAGGTTACATCTCCAATCTGGTCCGGGAACGCCTTGGGGTCCTGCCGGAGGAGCTGGTGGACAAGGCCGGGGAGAGGACGGCCTGGAGCTCCCTAGTTGGGATGCTGCCCCCGCGACCCGGACCCGGATAAGCGGAGGAAGACGAGACGAGACATTTCTAACCTTTATTTAATATCTGAATAATTGTATATCTTAAAATGCATCAACCATTATTTGCCATAACTGAAAACAATGTCTGAGAGGCGTGATCATCTATAAAACATGATCCGATTTAATAAATGTAATTTGTTATTACAAACCTGTGTGTGTCATTTAATACAGGAAACTCAGTTTCTTGTTTTGGTTGATGCTCAGTGGGGGAGAAAACAGCAGTCTGTTCATCGATCAGTAAAATCCATTCTGGCCTCATACTGTTTTATTTAAATATCTGTGAGTCTGAGCTCCGGGCTATTAGCAGTCAGCCCTCAGTTCTTCTGAGCAGCTAAAACCCTTTATTATGCAGAGCCTCCTGGTGACGGTGTGCTGTAATAAATCCTCACCTCTCATACTGTTTCTTTCATATCTTGACTTAATTATGCATTCAACGTCATCACAGCCATGAACATTAATGTGGGAGTGCGTACAGCTGCTGCACTGCTGGACCAATTCTACGAGAAGCGACGGCTACTGATTATCTCTGCGCCGACGGCTGCCAATCACAATTACCGCTTCCAGATGACTAACCTCCAGGTGAGGCACGACTCTCATACACACACTCACACACACACACACACACACACACACAAAGCACCGGCTGAACGTGAGTGGATGCAGTCGGACAGAGGAACGGCGAAACGGCGCTGCAGTGATTGGCGTCCTCTGTGATGTTTCTCACAGGCGCTCTACAGCGTTTGTGTTTTCACTTACATGCCAAAGTGGGACAAATGGCAAGGGGAGAGGTTGTCGAGGCGATGATCAAAAAATGTCACCGGGGTGAATAAATGCCTCTGACAGCAGCTCTGATAGGGCTATTTTGGTGTGGATGTTTTTCACCAGCCCGTCACAAACCATTAGGTCAGCGTCGTGTTTAAACACCTGACCTTTTGGATTCAGTTTGTTACAAGCTGAGAAACTAACCAGTGTCCGTTTGTGGATAAGCAGAGCGCGTATGCTTATGAACTGCACAGAAGTATGATTCGTATGGTTTTATGTTATTACTGAAAAAGAAAAATTCCTATTGAAGCTGATCCCTGAAAAGAATAAATTATCCTTCATTCTCAGGTGATGTGAAAGTAATCTGAATTAATTTTATTGCATTAGTACTGAGTAGGGACAGACGGATACATCGGTCGGCTGATTTTTAGCATTTTTAACATTTAGGTGTAGGTACCAGATGTACACAGGGTGCCAGATTGGCTTGGGGGCCTGCGCCTGCTGGTGACACCACAGTACATGATTTGCTGATGTTAGAGATTTTAGTTGGTTCGTACAAATTGTGGAAATTACATCAACTATTTTTGTTTGGGGTTGTAGCACTTCATAGAAAACATGAATAAAGAAATACATCATTACCTTTATAACTGATATTTAGTCCAATAAATAATCTCACACTGCACACCTTAAATAAATCACAATATAAACTCAAATTTATTTACTCACATGAGAAATTGGTTTTTGGGGGATTCTTATGGAATATTAGGTTACTATCAAGTACACAACATAAGAACAAATGAAGTATACAGAAGAATGCAGCACTTACACAAACAGCCAGGGGTGTTAGTTATGGAAAACATGCAAAAATTCTCATTTATTAATTGGTTTGAGAACCTTTTTGTTGGTAGAATTTGTGCAGTTTGTCCAAGCGATGTTGCCGTAGTGTGACATCATCGGCAGCCTCCAAGCTGATCTGACACTCCTCTGGTAACTACATGTGCACAAAGAACAAAGTACCTCTTTAGTAGAACCGATTTAAAGTCAGGCACATCAGCAGGCAGCCCTGTGCTGCCAAATTTTATTTATGTTCCTGAGAAACACCAGCTTAATAAATGCTTAAAAACATTATTGACATTTAATTATTTCATGTTTTATATTTAATACTTGATCAGCCTATTTGATTAACTTCATTTAAATGTTTGATTTTAATACCGAGCAGTGTGTAAAGTTAACACTCAAGAGTTGGTTAAATTCTGATTCAGGTTCAGACATGTTGCGCATTCACTGATGTTAGTAGTGACATTTTAGCACGCAAATAAACTCCGACCATGCAAACTAGCCCACAAAATCAGCAGCACATCTGCTGACTGTAACCTACCCATATCGGCATCGGCATTAGAAAAGCCCACATCAGTCGATCTTACCGAGCTGAAGTGCGACGGACAGCATTTGCTTATTTGTCTCCCATCATGAGTAGCTGGGTCTCAGTTGTCATTTTGAACATATCAAAAATAACCCTACACGACGAATGTCCTCTTAAAAAAATCAGACTCATCACAGTCATCTGCAACTATTCTCAGTTTAGTTCCTGTGAGTCCACAAGTGCCAGAAAATTGTTCATAGACTTTGTGACTCAATTGCGACGTGAACATTTGCACAACTGTTGAAATTTCTTTGCGTCATTTGCCCCACGTGACCCAGCCATGTGTAAAACAACTCATCCCAGTGTCACACACACCGATTTGGTGTGATCCCAGCAGAAAATTTATGGATTTTCCTTCAACTCATCACCAACAGCTGCAGCTCGATGAGACCAGTTTATGCAGGAGTTATTTGTACAGAGGAGGACAAAGGAAGCAGAAAGAAAGAGATGTTATAACTCACTGAGCCATTAACGGCATCAGTAATATATAGGCATTATGCAGCATCATGGAGACATCATTATTATGCATTGTTTAATTGTTTAAAAAGTGATCAGCATGAGGATGGCTCTGTAATTAACGATGAATCTATATGTTTAACGTCCCATGAGGTGCACGATGCTATTCACAAACTAGCTAATAATGAGGCTTGTGGTCTGGATCACGTCAGTGCAGAGCATTTGAAATATGCTAGCCATAGACTAGCTCCCCTTTTAGCTCTTTGTTTTACAGGGTTTATGATTCATGGCATACTACCAGACTCAATGATGGCAATTCTGTTTGTTCCAGTCATTAAGAACAAATCTGGGAAGGTGACCAGTATGGATAATTATATGCCGATTGCACTAGCCAGTGTTTTGTCTAAAGTTCTTGAAAGACTTATATTTGATAGAATCACTGTTTACCTCAGTTCCTTGGATAATCAGTTTGGCTTTAAGCCAAAACATGGTACTGACATGTGTATATACGCACTTAAAGAAATGGTCAACTGGTATAGAAATAGAAATTCTTCTGTCCTTATGTGTTTTATTGATGCCTCTAAGGCTTTTGATCGTGTAAACCACAGAAAACTTTTTATTAAGTTAAAGCTACGGGGGGTCCCTGGGTTTATTGTGAGAATCCTGTCTTACTGGTATGCTCATCAGACGATACAGGTTAAATGGGGTGCCAGCATCTCTGCACCTTTTGGCATTAGTAATGGTGTTAGGCAGGGTGGAACTCTGTCTCCTATCTTATTTAATTTGTATGTTGACGATCTGTCAGTGCAGCTGAGAGCCTGTAACACAGGATGTTTGATGGGTACAACTTTGATCAACCATCTGATGTATGCGGATGATCTGGTGGTCTTTAGTCCAAGTAGTGCTGGTTTACAGCAGCTCCTAAATATCTGCTCTGAGTATGGTGTGCAGTACGATATTCAGTATAATGCTGTTAAAAGTGCTATCTTGATATGTAGAACCAAGCAGGATAAAAAACTAAACTTTCCTGTGTTCAAACTGTCTAATAGTGATCTTAATGTGTGTGAGAAGGTGAAATACCTTGGCCACTTTATAACCGATCAAATGCGTGATGATGCTGACATCCACAGACAGTGCTGTAAGCTGTATGCACAAGCTAATACTATAGCACGTAAGTTTAGTTTTTATTCACCTCCAGTTAAGGTGGCTTTATTTAAAGCATATTGTACTCCGCTTTACACAGCCCAACTGTGGTCATCCTACAATCAAAGCAGCATGAATAAGCTGCAAGTTGCATACAATGATGCCTTAAGGATCATACTTAAAATACCCAGAGGGGGCAGTGCCAGTCAGATGTTTGCAACAGCAGGCATTTGTACTTTTAAAGCACTTTTAAGAAAACTCATATTCACTTTCATAGGCCGACTGGATAGCTCTGCCAACAGTATAATTTTAGCAATCACTGATCCTACTGTGAGCAGTTGTCGCTATTTGTCCAGTATAAGGAAACACTGGTTGAAGTGTTTGTGTGGTTAACCTTGTGTGTAACAGTTCATAGTAAAGTTTTTAAATTACATTTAGATTTTTATTCAATTTTATGCTGTTATCTTTTTATTTCTATTTATCTATTTTGTTTCATTGATCTGTTGTTTTATATGTATTTTATCTGGACCTAAGAGTCTGTCAATAAAGATTATCTGTCTATCTATCTATAGGGAAGGGACATTGTCCCCCACCTGCCCTGTTATTCAACTTGTGAGTCTGACATCAGTTTAATTTGGTTTAAACAGTAATGACATTAAAAGTTTATGTTTCTACTCATTCTGTGATTTGACACAAACGTTTTTGACCTCGTTCCCTGGAGCTCTAAGGGAGTAGCAGACTGCTTTACATCATTACCGCCTTGATTTTAAAGCATCTTTAACTGCCTGATTATTTATTTCTTAGTGTTTGTTTAGTGGAAGTTTGAATTTCTTCATCACAGCTGTGTACGCTCGAGCTGCGGTCGTCTGTGTGAGTGGAGTTGGAGTTTTATGTCTTCTGTTGTGGGAATTCTCGCTCCTTTTTCTTTTACCTGCATAGACATGAATAACCTTGTTGAATAACTCATGGATCTCTGTTTCTGTGGGAACAGCACGCTCAGTGTGGACTGGATCTGAGACATGTGACGGTTATCGAACTAGTCGGCACTTACCCGGCACAAGTGGGACGCATTCGGCACAGGCTTCTCCCACCTGGTCTGGCCCTCCAGCTCAGGTACTAACACACGCACACGCACACACACGCACACACACACACACACACACACACACACACACACACACACACACACACACACACACACACACACACACACACACACACACACACACACACACACACACACACACACACACACACACCTTCAGCAAATATGACTTTTACCTAGCTCCTGCTTGCTAAGCTGATGTGTGTTTCCTAGGTTACTGCTCCGGATCCCTCAGAGATCTTTTCAAATGGTTCTGGTAGATAAGCAAGGCATTGACAAACAGCGCTACCCGTTCCCCATCACAGCGGCTGAATTATTCACCACCATCGACACCTTCCCCCTCCGTAAGGACGAGATGATGCTTCAGCAGGAGGCGGGACAGACCTGTCAATCGTAAAGCACCCCTGAAGGGAAATGTCAGCTACATTTTGATCGTTTTCCTTCTTTGTTGAAAAACAGGCCGCCTCAGATCACTGGTTTCTATCCGCATGTCACACTCGTTCTGTCCTGCACCTGGTGTGTGTGTTTATGTGTGTGTGTGCGTGTGTGTGGTCATGGTGCTGATCTGATCACACTTTCATCAGATCACAGAGTAAATCACAGTCAAATTGATTCATATGTTTTATTTTTTATATATTGTCAAAACAGAAAAGGTTTTACTATTTTGTATTTTGTTTAAAAACTCTGGAAAAATGTTTCTAATATTTATGTCTTTTATCTTTCATTATGATCTCTGGCAGGTTACGCATCTGTGAAGCATCAGATTTAACAAACACTGATTAATAAATATGTGTACTGAGTTGATTTTATGCTCTTTCACATTATTGTGCCATTTGAAGTCCTTGATTAGATTACAGGTATGATTAGACTTTCAAATCCAGCCTAACAGAACAAAAATATTAATAATTCAAAGATTAATGCCAGAAAGAACACTCTATGAAGGAGCCAATAACAAGTTAGTGTCATAATAATCCATGTGGTTCAAACTGAGGCTCTTAATAAACAGAATCAGCTGATCTAAGTAATCCAAACTCTCTCTTCTACAATAAACATTAAGTAAACTCAACAGAGCAGTGAAAGTCTGGGAATAATAAGTTGCTGAATGTTAATGTTAAGCTTTTGGGATAAATGATGCAGATGAATGAGAAAAAAGCAGCTTTTTTTCTGATTGTGATTATATAAATATGTAGTATTTGCATGCTAATATTACAGTTTAATCGTATTTGTGTAACAGTGGATGCCGAGTGAACACTGGGTAGAACATTTTTTAATTTCAAATAAAAAACAGGCGTCAAATCATTCAGAAATAGTTTAATATCGTTAATATTCCTTAAAAACAAGAAAACCATCATGTATTTATTTCAAAATATTCTCGTAGAACATCAGGGAGAAAACAAGCTTTAGGAGAATGATGCTTAGAAACCAGACACAAACATGCTGTACAGTTAGCTTCTTCTTAATAAGATGACGCACGAGCATTTAGATTATTCTGGACGGTGAACAAATTTTATTACGAGAACTGTAACCAGAAGACAGTTTGCTCTGGTAGTTGGGAGCAGGCGGGTTTTGAAGGACAAGCAGGCAAAACTGGCATTCCACACAAAGAAAGAAAATGCCCTGATGGGAATTTAAATCTGGAGCTGTTTTTGTGAACTGTGATTCGTCAGAGGATGAATGATCACAGAGCCCTGGGCGACGAGGACAAGGTCAGTGTCACTGGCTCATTAATAGCCCCCTCCCTGAGATGACGACAGCTCATCTCGCTGCTGACTCATTTTGCAACACACACTTCCCCATCTCACGCTTCCTGAGAACGCACCGCACATCACACTTTCTCCTCTTGGTGTAAAGTGATGTCAGCATCAGTGCTTCGTGTAACCTTTAGTTCCTCTGTTTTCTACAGTACCATGCACTCTATGTTAACACACTGATACAGTGTTATACGAAATTACATAGAAGCTAGTCTAAGTTTTAGAAACTGACAAAACTTTGAGCCACAAGTTTATTTATTCTATTGACAAGCGAGGGAAAGCTATGGAGCTCAGAGAGTGTTGAAGAGAAATCATCTGGACGTACATCTTTCTGATGATGGTGGAGTAGAGCCTGGCTGTAATGTTTCATAAAATCAATATTATTGTCTAATATATCCCATTTATCAGATATTTATTTTATTTACAATATTTTCTCAGCAGTTTATTTTCTAAGTTATTGGAAAATGTGACTTTTTCTACAGTTTTCTACATTTTCATATTATTTTTCTCTAACATAAAGATATATTTGAGCAGATTCTGAAACTGAGGCAACACATTTCTACAACTTCTACTTTATCTGGCACCCTCTGGGCTTCGGCTAATATTGGGTACTTACTGCATGCAAATTTATTAAAGCATCAATTTACAAACAAATGTGATGCAATTTATTTATGAAAAATACTAATATTCAGTCTTTCTGTGCTAATAATTGTTCACAATGTTATGTATAACATTTGGTCCCTTGCACCTTTTTCCTGATTACCAAGGTTCAGTGGTTCCCAAAGTTGGAGGACCCCACCATGGGGATATTAGATAATTTTAAAAATCAAATGAAACTTTAAATGATTATTATTAGCATTTTAAAACATAATTCCTGCAGGAGATTCTCAAATAGATGTCAGATTAAAACAACTAAAAGTAAATTAAATATTTGAGTGATAGTTTTAGGTCTTTCTGTTGGTGTTTTGTGGGTTGGAGGCTGAAAAATGTGGGAGCCTTTGCACAAATATTAGCATGCTAATGTTTGTTGTTAGCAATCTTAGTTTAATGTGGGACAAATTGTATGTTTGTCACTTTTTTGCTGTAATTAGCCTTGTTTAAGATTTTTGGTACAAATATAATACTTTAAACTTTTCAGAAGAACTATTCTCTGTTTATAGTTATTTATTTCTTTTGGCCAAATTTTGTTGTATTAGATGAATTTCGTCCCCCAGCACACTGCAATTCACACAAGCCTTAAAAAATAATTAAGTTGTTAAGAAACAATGATTCAGGTGGATTCGGAGTCCTGGTTATAATAATAACAATAATAATAATAATAATAATAGTTTTGTTTTCGATTTACCTTGGACTGCATGGTGGCACAGTTGTTAGCACTGTTGCATGCGTGGGTTTCCTCCGGGTACTCCGGTTTCCCCCACAGATCACAACATGCCCTATAGGTTATTAATTGAAAGTCGCTTTGGATAAAAGCGTCTGCCAAATAAATAAACATAAACATAAACCTTGAGGAAAATTTCACAGTATTCATTAAAGAACTAGATTTGTGCTTGAATGATGAATAAACCTTCACTTGGACTTCTAGAATTCTTCATTACAATGATTATCACCGAATTACGGCAGACTTTTAAGAAATAATAATGAAGAAGTTAATTAATTTTTTCATTTTCGAGATTAAAGACAAAACGGGAAATAAACTCAAATCTTCAGGGTTGCATTAAACGGAAGCAGTATAACTAACAGTATGGATGAGTACTGTTAGGATGTTTTTCTAATAGTACTCCAATAGTACAATAACTAGTAGTTTTTCTTCTCTGCATCATTCTGTGCTTCATACCAGCTTAATAAAGGGAACTGTCTAACGTCTGATAAATGTTCTCCATCAGCTGTGAATACATGCAGAAACGACTCACAGATGAAACAGGGATGGACACATTAGGAGTCGCCGTGTGCTTATTTAGACGCTACAGTAAGTTAAATACAACAAGGGAGGTTTCTTTTTTTAGACAGCTGTAATCAGCAGAGGGGCGAATGTGGGTGAGTGAGTAAGGCATGACCGGCTGTGGTGGAAACCAGAAGAGGTCTGAACATGAAGGAAAGTCCAGAGAAAGAGCTTCTCTGCTCCTTTATTTGAGTCGTAGTTTGCTTTCTTTTCCCTCCGACCACCTCAAACTTTCTCCTCACAACTTCAGATCTCCTCTTCCTCCCCTCTCTCCTTCTGTTTAATCCCCTTCCTTTTTGCTGTGCTTGATCCAGCTCACGTGTAACGCTTGCGCATGCTCGAGCGCAGCATCAGAGTACACTCCTGAGGAACCTCTGGGTTTTCTATCATGCGCTGCCAAACCCGCTGTTCCTCTCCGTACGAGTCCATCCAGTCCACGTCACTCCCGTAGCTTTTGCCTTGAACAGAGACGAACATAAATTTCTGTTTTAGTTTGGTTTGAGTCCACAGGATTTCCATGTGCACCAGTCCTAGCTGGAATGATATCATTAAAGATTTATATATGATTAAAGGATCACAGTGGATTTTACTGCCTGACAAGCCATCCTATACATGTAAATATATTTTCTGGCCATAACCGATAGACAGAGCTCAGTTGTGGGGAGGTCTTTCAGATCTCAGCATGTAAATGGACAGCGCTAGGACCAATCAGAGCAAGGAACAATGTGGCACATTCATCATTAAGGTTTTCTGTCTACGGAGCATAGCCATACGCCATCGAGGACGAAGCAGAAACTACATCTTTGTCCAAAGCTGTTCAAAGTTGATGCCAAAGCCATTTATTTCAAATGAGCGTCGTTCTCGAGCCAACGCCATCTTTGTAGTTTTTCTCCATCGCAGCTCTGGCGCTAAGCCCACCCAACAGAGAGTGTGATCAATAGTAGACCTACTTAGGCTACAATGGTGTGTGGCTAGAAGGACCTCCAGAGTAAAATACTTTGCTACTGTTGCAGTTTCTAGGATAGTGGTCTCCAGTATGAATGAATGCTCTGGCGTTCCTGTTTCAGGTGGAGGAATGGAAGTCAGAAAACAGGATTTTGAGTCTCACTCATTAAAATTCATGACATTCGGACATCTCATTCCTGATTGGCTAACAGAAGCACAACTCTTCCAATGCCTGGGTCTGCTTTGCAACATAAAACGTTTTATCTCAAAATAGCACAAGTCTGAAGGAGTTCTGCCATGTGGTGGAGTTGCTAATGCGGTTAGCAGTTAGCTTCCACCTGCCGAGCCGTGCTGTGCTCTCTTCCGCCTGCAAAAAGCCAACACAGCCTTCTACTGTCACAAGCCAAGGTGGGTGAGTTTATGAATGCTAATTTAAAGTTTGACGTAGATCTGTGAGGCTTTTACTGACCCGAGCGTTTCCTCGTCTTTTTTCTATTGGCGGCTAATATAGGAAATAGGGGTAGAAGACTATTTTCACGTGGATGTGAAACTCAGAGTGACCGATCGTATTTCATTAAAAGTTTTTTATCGTCACTTACCTGTGCCAGCTCCCAGCCTGACTCCGCCCAGGAAGACATTGCTGGACAAAGCCTCTTTGTCCCACACAGTCAGCTCCAGACAGATGTTGTTTAGGTCTCCAGGCTGCAGGCCGCAGTAGGTGAAGGTGTGGTTCCAGTGTGGGTTCATGGTACGACGCTCCACCGCCGTCTTGTGCTTGGTCGATTTCTTGTTGTCAGGGAGGAGGTACCTATGAGAAAGAACAGGAATAGATGTAGGAACATGTGATCCAAATGCTCACAAAAAAAAAGTAATTTTGGAATGATTGCAAACATTTGTCATTTCACCCTTTCACAAAAGGATCAGAAGTGCCACCAGACTTGACAGCAGTTAGGTTTTTGGCCCCTTTGACCAACAGCTCAACCATGCCCCCTTTAGGCAGCGTGAAGCTGCTCGTCTTCTTGCTTTTCAGGAAACTCTTTTTTACTGCAGGAAGAGAGGTGACACAGAGATAGAGACACAAAGTCCATCAAGCATTCTCAGGTGTAACATTCCAGAAAAGTGCTGAATGTTTGCAGTGAAAATCTTCATGAGAGGAAAGAGAAGAAATGACTGACATACTTTCAGGTGCCTAGGACTCTAAAGATGAGTCATGGATGAACAAAACCCCCACAAAAATGGAGAAGAAAGACACAAAAATGATTTTAGGAGTTCTTGGTGAGCTTAATATATTTTAAAGAAGTCACCTTAGAACAAATGAACTCAAATAATAATAAATAAGTTTTACAGAAGCACAATTTGTGACAATACACATCAACAGCTAAATATTAGCAACCCAGCCAGGAATCTGACATTTAAAAAAGGCATTATTTTTGTTGAGTTTATTAATGAATAATAACCCTAACCAGGAATCGCTGCACAGTAATTTGCTCCTGGTTTCTTTTGCAGAAGATTTATTGGGATTGCTTACAACACATTCCAGGCCAGTGCATGAAACAGAATCCCAATCTCAGAAATGTGCTTAAAGGATGCTACTGGAGAACATTTCCCCTGCAAACGGCTCACTTTCTCCAACTCCACCTTACATCAGTGACATATGCATATCTTATCGTACCTATTATCTGAATTGCTAGTTTGTTGCTGCCTGACGTGCTTATTTGTATTATTGTGCAATTCTGACGTTTCACCACTACAGTTAAATTCTGGGAAATTACAGTTTTTTTCACAGGAGCTGGCAAGCTCTAGAATCCAGAGCTCTGAAGAACACAGCTTATTGATGTGCTGGTAGATGAAACACTTTCTAACAAGCAACACTATTCCTGCAAAATAACACTGTTATTGATGTGATAAAAATCCTTTTAGCAGAAATATTGACTGCAGGTTTTGAAAAAGTGTCAGATAAAGCAACGAGATTAAATTCCCTTGTGGGAGAGTCACGATTAAATGTTTATTTATTTTTTAAAATCTGACAACATTCATGATTCTGGTGCATGAAGGAGAAAACTGAGAGAGCCTCGAATGATTTTTCTGGCCTTTGAGATAATTGGTGACTAAATCAGAGCAAGTCTTCGGTAAAAAGGTCACAAGGGGGTAGGGAGAATTTTAATTTGTGACCAAACTGGGATGAAAGAAGTTGTTTTTATTCTTGTTAACATTTAGCAACACACTTGGTGATGATCACAGACTCCTGCTGCGCTGCTGAACATTACTTCCGCCTTCAAAGGTTCACAAACAATACTAAAATTTTCAGTATTGGTATCTAAACTTAATTCTTGGGCTTAAATCCAAAGTGAATACAGAAATAAATTAATGATAAAAATGACTTGATCGCTTTAGGGAAACAAATCAATGTACCTTGAACCTGGTCGAGAGGCAGCATGAGGTTTTTTTCTGCAGGAATGTACTTCAGCACCACGGTCAATTCTCCTTTATATTGCATCATGGAGTCGATGCTGTTCTCCACCTGCACACACAAATAAACAAACACAAGAGGATTCTTCACAAGTTTCCTGAGGACAACATGCTCTGATTCTGGCTCCTACCCTGGGCTGCAGAGAGTACCACTCCTCTATCTGAGAGTCAAATTCCCATGAGTCAAAGGTCAACTCCACCTCACCCAGGAAGCTGTTGTACCCAAAACGGTCATGATGCCACACAGACACCTGCAGTGATCGAGTCTCCAGCTGTGAGTGGCTGATCACATACTGAAAAACACACACAGAACATCAATTTAGCAAGATTAAAGATTTAGATTCAAAGAAACTGAGATTATTTTCTCCTACAAACCCTCAGATTCTCATTGAAAATGGGATTAATGGTGTTGGGTTTGACGCTGGTCTTCCTCTTGCTCTGCCGCGATGTGTCAGGAAGCAGGTAAGTCTTCACGTAACTGCAATAACAGCAAAACAAACTATAACACAACCCATACTGCATTTCAGTTTATTTTCAGCATCTGTCACTAGTTAAATGACATCTATTGCCACCAGGTGATCTCTTACGCGTCCGTGCGCTGCCTCCTCTCATCCCCTGTTGCCAGGTTGTGACACTCTTTCACCAGGACGTTGAGGGCACCTGTTTTGTAGTTGTAGCTGATGTTCAGGAGGATCTCACCGCTCACCTTGGCGTTGCTATAGTCACCGGTCTCGCTGTACATGCTCATCATGCTGTTGATGCTGCTCTGTGAGGCCGAGAGGAGAGATCAGGATGAGGATTCGAGTTTTTAATAAACACGGGGGAGCAAATAAACGAGGGCCAGGTTAGTCATGTTAATCATCAGGGGCACAAAAAAGCTATTATCGGACAGGATGTGCTGTTTTTTAAACTACATCTATATCAGGGGTGTCAAACATCCGGCCCGCCGGCCGGATCCGGCCCGCAAGTGGGTTAAATCCGGCCTGCAAGATGGTTGTGTAAACTTTATTTTCATACTTTACAATGTAGAGTGAAAAATAAACGTATCTTTGTGAGCAAGTTTTCTCTGTAACGAGTATAAATAAGACAAAGCTGCGCTCAAGGCTCACACAAGAACTTGAATCACATCCTGAAGTTGGCTGCCACTCAGGATGTGACTTCTGATATTGATGTGCTGGTGAAAGCTAAAAGATGTAAAGTAAAATGAGTCAAATATACTTTAAGTGCTGCATGAAACTGATCTAGCCATGTGATCTGTAAGCTCTTTGAATCACTAAGGAATGTTTTTTTTTTTAATTTATTGATTTTTTTTTCTTTTCCAAATTTTCAAGTACACTTCAGGTGTTGTACTTGTACAATTTTGGATACACTGTCCTCAGGCTCCAGCTTTGTTTTATATTGATTGTATTAAAACAAAGAAAACGATCTGAAGTTGTTTTTAATTTACCGGTCCGGCCCACTTGGGACTAGATTTCCCTCAATGTGGCCCCTGAGCTAAAATGAGTTTGACACCCCTGATCTATATAATCAGTTATATGTCATATTTTTTTTGAATGTTGATATATTTTAAATTTAGATTTATATATCTCCCTTAATATCGTTATGTTATTATATCCCCCAGCACACCTATTTTAAATTTTGATTAATAATATTATATCTCCCTGATGCACCTATTTTAAAATAAAGACTTTTAAAAATAAATTCAACATTTGCTGTACCTTGATATGTGATTAGTTGTCTTGATTTCCATTTTTTGTTTTCTGCAACAAAATTTTAACCTCTTGCTCTAATTTATTAACCAAAATGAGAATTATTTTCTTTAAAAAGTTGGAAAACAACTTAAATGCATTCTTCAAATTCTCTTTTTGTTGTCACAATCAGTAGATCAGCTGTATCATGACTGATAATCTGCCTGTGGTCCAAAATGTGTCCAATAATAATTGTTATATAAAAGGATCATAGAATTCAACTGAAAAATCTAAGAAACTCAACAGTTGAGGATCAGTGAAGCCAAACTTTTAGTGCTATACTGAAAAACGTATCAATATAAAGTTTAATTTCTGACTTTCTGACAGTTTTAGCTGCAAAATCCTTTTCATAAAAAGAGGTTTTAAACTATATCCTTTTTTTTCTAAATAATGCCAAGCTGTTAAACTGTTGCTTCAGTGTCTCCCTGCAGAGTCCCTCTGTGATAAATAGCGTGTTAAATATGGGAACTTTAGAGTTATTTAAAAAAAAGAGGAAAACAAGCATGCCCTGAACATGCAGTCTGGATGCAATTATTCTGGTCTACTAATGAAACAAAAATCTTTTTATCTCATTGAAAGATTCATGCAACATTTTTAGTTTGCTGGCGATATTTTGGGAAAGCAGAAAGCAACGACAACATGCAAACACCATAGCAGAAGCTTACAGTCTCAGCGTCTGAGTCGGGGATGTTCAGGTACCCCCACCTTCTCTCTGAGACGGGAGTGGACGACTGGATTTAACAGATTAACAGGAGAAGGAGGGAAGAAAAAGAGAGGTAGCTGAGCTTGTTGGCCATGGAGTCAGAGAGCCTGACTCCTCCACCTGGAAACCCCCATTACACACGGTTACCATGGTGATGTTCAGATAAAACCACAGAGGTCACAAGTCGACTAGAATCAGCAGTGAAATAAGAAGAGATGCACAGAAAACACACAAGGAGTTTAGAAACAAGTGGAGCAGGGCGTATGTCCTCAGAACTCAAAAGCAGAAGAGTTTTAGATATTAAATTAAAATTAATCTGTAAATCAAAAAAAAAAAAAAGATCATAGGGTCCCTTTTTGCTTTATATAAATAATATCAGAATTATTCTAACTTCTTACAATAAAGCAATTCGGAATTAACTTTTCAATGTGCTAAAGAATTATTATTTAATTAAATTAGACCAAAAAATAAAGTTGTGAAAGTCAATGTTGAGTGAAATGAAACAAAAGGTGCTGATTGGGTGCAGCATATCTTATCCATTTATCACCAAAAGACAAGTGGAGGAACATGTCGATGCACCTAAAGCTGCAGGAGGAGGAGTTTTGGTTGGTTTGGTTCATTAGGAGACAGACTGCTGCATCATCTCAAATAATCTCGTTATCAGGGGCCAAAGCAAATCGTATTGTAAGTGGAGGTTATTATTTATTTTATTTATCTTGGCTTCATGCCTCAGTGACATTCGTCACATGAACCTGCAGCTCGGTGCACCAGGTAATTACATTACATGGGCTGCATGGTGGCGCAGTTGTTAGCACTGTTGCCTCGCAGCACGAAGGTTGCATGTTCGAAACTCGGCTGCAGCCTTTCTGCGTGGAGTTGCGTGTTCTCCCCATGCATGCGTGGGTTTCCTCCGGGTACTCCGGTTTCCCCCACAGATCACAACATGCCCTATAGGTTATAAATTGTAAGTCGTTTTGGATGAAAGCATCTGCCAAATAAATAAACATAAATAAACATAAACATCTAAACAGATCAACAGCAGCAGAATCTTCTCCCTGCACCAGTGTTAATCTCAGGGTGTTTGATCTGAGCTGTCACTGGTTCCCCTGCAACTCCACGAGTCGTTCCAGCTTGGAACAAATCCCCTGGTTCAAATGTCAAGGCAAGATGCACCATGTGAAGCACACACACAGGAGAAGAGCTGCAGTATGGAATCAATATATAGAAAAGTGCTTGGGGCAGTTTGAGAACAGCACAAACCTGCTGTTACTCCTGCTGTGGGATTATCCAGAAATGCTACTGGAAAACATCTAAATCTAAGGTTCTGTTGTTATTCTTGCCATGATGTTTGTTTTTGTATAATGAACATGGAGATAGAAACAAATGGATTCAGGAGCATATTTGAACCTGGGTCACTGACCAAACTAAACCTAGAGTGAGCATTTTGCATAATGAAGTCAGAGACGTGTGTGTTAGAAACTGTTGCTTATTACAAAATCCAACAGAGTAGCACTGATATTTATCTGATTCTTTCGCCTCCACAAGGAAAATGTTTCGCTTTTAGGATAAAAAATGATGAAAAGGGTTGCAGATAAGGTGTTTTTATTGCCTGGTGCTGGCCAGGTGTTACAGGTGGCTTTATCAAGACGTTTACTAATACAGAAAACACGTCAAAACAGGACCTCCATGTTTGTTTAAATGCACCATGTTTCCTGTCTGGGCTCATATTATGTTTACTCTATGTGTATAAACAGAGAGCATATTTGTACTCTGTGCTTGCATGCAGAGCAACCCTGATCTCATGTTTAGGTGTCTGTGCCACCTTAAGCGTTTACCGTTGACACAGCGCTGCTGACGCTCCGGCCGGTGCTGTGGGCTGACATCAGAGCATCGATGTCTTCCTCCTCATCGGAGAACTCCTGTGAACGACAGCGTGCAGATTAATCAAATAAAGATGATGTCTGAGATGCTGATCTGTGCCTTGCTGCACATTTTTTCCATCTGCAGCAGCTGAACGGGCAGAAAATTCAATCAGACAGGTCTGGACGCAGCGTGGTAATGTGATTTTCACGTTCAAATCATTGGTTTTATTTGTCTTGCACGACAGGGTGACTAAGAAATAAAGTCATTTGAGTTTCAGGGGGTTTTGTGAGGCGCTACAAATGCAAATAAAAACAAAAGCTGACCATCACACCATCCACCTGTCTTTAGATGCTCTTTGAAGTGAGCTGTGATGTGGATTTAACATTCACACCCGCAGCTGAGGAGTCACGTTGAGTTTACTGTCTCACAAATGCAGAGCTTGACGGGATTATCTACTACAGGTGTGGATTTTGCAAGTGTTTGAGCTAAAATTAGTCATTTTTAAACCAAAGAATCATCTTTTTCTGTGACTGAAGAGAATTTGTTGTCAAACCGTGAAGATGAGCTGTGGTGATGAAGCTTACTGCATCGTTGAGTCCAGGGATGGAGCGACTTCTGAGGCTGAGGGCATCGTCGCTGTGTTCAGAACCAGGAGCTGACAGATCCATCTCAGAGCGGCTGTGATCTGGAAGGGCGCAGAGGCATAAATACAAAAACGGCTCATTACACATAGTCTCAGGCATCCCGCAGTTTGGCAAAAATCACAACAAAAAAGTATTTAAATGAATAAAACAGACATTATGTTTTTTTGTGACATTTGTTACTCTTCTAAGCTTCCTTAAGTCCCATCCATCCATCCATTCCTCCATCCATCCATCCATCCATCCATCCATCTTAATCCGCTCATCCAGAGTTGGGTCACGGGGTCAGCAGCTTAAGCAGAGTGGCCCAGACGTCCCTCTCGTCAGCCACTTGGGTCAGCTCCTCTGGGGGAATCCCAATGAGTCCCTTGGCCAGCTGAGAGACATAGTCCCCCCAGGGTGTCCTGGGTCCAACCTCACCAGGGAGGCGTCCAACAGGCATCCTAACCAGATGCCCGAGCCACCTCAACTGGCTCCTTTCGATGTGGAGGAGCAGCAGGTCTGCTCCGAGCCCCTCCCGGATGACCGAGCTTCTTACCCTATCTCTAAGGGTTGGTTGCGTGACCGTAGGTGAGGGTAGGAACGTAGATCGACCGGTAAATCGGGGTGTCACCTTCCGGCTCAGCTCTCTTTTCACCACGGCAGACCGGTACAACACCCGCATCACTTAATTTTAAGTATCTCGTGGTTTTGTTCACAAGTGAGGGAAAGATGGAGCGCGAGATCGACAGGCTTCCTTAAGTTCAAATTTCTATTTTTTGACTTCTCAGTGAAATAACAATGATGTGTAGAAAATTAGTATTAGAGTCAAAATGTACTTCCTTATTTTTGATAATTCAGTACTTTTGATGATAAAATGAAGATCCAGAGATAGTAGTTTAAAGTATGTGTTGGCAAAACTTTGTTAATGTTATTAACGCACCAATCTAGCTGCAAGGTTTACTTGGTTATAGTGGCTCTCATGTTGATTAGCTGTGGTGGCTTCTTGAATTGAGTTGAGTTCTGGTAAATAAAACAGATCTGATGCCATGCGAGGATTTAAAATCAAAACGTTCAAACTTGTCTCAGACTGAAACATTATAATTGCTCAGAATCACAAAGTTGCAGCTGTTGACAGAAAACCTCTGAGGATTTCCATCAGAGCAGCAGGATCTAACCGCATAACAAACAAAACTGTTAGTTAGAAACTCGCTGCAAAACCAACTCTTTTCTCCAGGTTGTGAATTATTTATTAGAGAGGGGAAAAAAACGAAAATACAGAACATTTGCCGCCTCTGGACTGTACAGCAGACACTAACATGTACGAGCCTAAACGTCCGCCTTAAAATAAAAAACACAGGAGTTTGGGTTGCGACATCCAGAGGGAGATGGTTTTTAAAAGCCTAATATATTTTATTCATCCAAAAATATATAACTGCCTGTTTGGATGTTCAAGAGAATATGAAGTCTGTTGACCTCACTTTTTACTTTCAGTTCTGTTTCCCATCAGCAGGAAAATAAATGTTTTATTAGTCCGTAGGATCCTGATTTGTTCATTTTATTTCATTTTGATTGTAAAAACTACAACCAAACATTTTTCACAAGCCTTAATGAGACATTTTGTGTTTCTGGCCACAAAACAGCTTAAAAATGCTGTTTGTGTACTAGTGGAGTAGATTCAATTTTAGTTATTAAACTTCTGAGCCAAAAGGCTCAATTATTCATCTTCATGCGAGCCGATGCTGTTTTCTTTCATTCTAGTTTTAAAGCATTAACATATTTTCCTTCAGGCTCCAAATCCATACTTAAAATACTGGATATAAAACTGATTTCCTCTAAAGCGACTATCACCTAGAAGTATGTTTATTTAACCAAAACATTGAATTATTCTTTTAAATGTTGAAAAATCTACACATAAACTTTCCTCTCAACTAAAACTGAATAAGACCGTTAAAAGCACAAAGTCTCCCATCGGCAAAGCAGATTAAACTTCATCCAAAGCTGCAGGAAGCAAATTTTCTCATGGATTTTTGAAACTTGAGTAAATATCTGAGAGATATGCTAATTATTTAGCATCTTATCTACCAATAAAAGTTTATAAAGCTCAAACTTAAAGTACAAAACTAGAGAGCGCTTCGGGTGCATCATCCTGAAATCTGCAGCCATGACTGGAGACCCTCACTAAAAACTGTAATTAGAGTCATTCTGAGATCTCTGCACTCGCCTGAGCAGTAAAAAGCTGGGATAAAAGGTTTGGACATTGATGGAAACAAGGTAGAGTGGATTATAGAAGAAAAGAGGAGCGACAGTAAAGGAGGTCAAGTTAATAGTGCGATTTGTGCCTGCTCCTGACAGAAGGACTCATTTTATCTTTTGTAAGATTCTCTGAGGTGGAGTTAGATGGTCTCACATCACCTCTGCTGCCAACACATTTTGAAGCTGTGATTCAGTTGTCAAAATGTTTGTGCACGAGCCGCAGAGCTGTGAGACAGCATAAGGAGTGGTATTGCTTTGACACAGAAAGAAAAATAAATAAAAGGTCCAGTTGTTACCTGATGAGACAGAGGCCCTGGACACAGAGATGGTCGGAGTGTCAGAGTTTGTTCTGTGATGGCCAGCTGCCTTCTTGTCAGGCGTTCCCTCGCTGGAGTGTAAACTGGCAATGCTTTCTGCTCCGTCAGGCTGCGTTCAAGACAAACATGTCCAAACTGTTAAAACAAAACTTTAACCTGGATGAAAGTGCTGCTGTTTGTCTGTTTGTGTGTGTCGTCGCTGACCCTGAACCTCCGGTTTTTGCTGGGGTTGGGGGATTTATCTGGAGTTTGAGAACGCAGGTTGTTGGGTACAGTGGGCATTCCTGAGGACTCTAAAGCCATCGCGCCTCCCCTGAAACCCAAAGAAACTTCATTAACATCCACAGTGTGTGTTTAACAACTGAAACTATGGCTGCTTGGAAAAATTAGAGAAGAATACAGAATTTTTTGCAGGAATAATGTTGTTTTATGTCCCCATGACTCTGTATTACAGTGATATTGCCTCAGATTGAAGAATTACGGCTTAGATGCAACAGGATTGATAAGCTAATGGCTAGTTTTAGTGCAACCAAGATCAAGGAACATTATTGCCATTTTAAAATAGCTTCAATCTCCACAGTTTCAAAACTGTCCATAAGGACATTATTTTGTTGTTATTTTCACATCATACTGTTATTTTGGCAGACATATTGGTTAAAATGACTTAAAGGGATATTCACCCAACATTTAAACTTTTATGTTATCGAAATTTTATATTTCATTATATATATTTGTATTCACAAATGTATTACCTTATGCCTGAAAGCATTCACACACACACACACACACACACACACACACACACACACACACACACACACACACACACACACACACACACACACACACACATTCTTGTTACTTTGTAACTAACTTCCCACATGCACACACATTGTTCTTCCCATACACACACACACACACACACACATACTGCCTCTCCCCTTCATGACCTCTCTCCCATTCATGCACACACGTCTGTTCTTTCCTTATCTCATGCTATAATTCGGGGCAGTTGTCTCGTTGCTCTGCCACAAATTGCAATTTGGTTCACTTGTCTGCTTCCTTATTGTCTCCTGTCTCTCTCTAGCTGCAGGAAATGGGTTTATTGATAAACATATTGATAAAATCCCTAACAGTTGATATTTCCCAGAGTTAGATAAGTGAGAAAAAATTATTTTAAAGCAGCCCAGTCATTTTCCTGACCCAGCTGTACTCCGTTCGCTTTAGCTTAGCATAAAACACAGTAAGTTAGTACGTTATCTAATGCTGGGAAATATGTCAACGGACTAAGTTTCATTTTTGGGTGGAATTTCTCTTTAATAAGTGACCCATGGATGCACCAGAAGCTCTACATTTTACTCCTGCTGGTCATAGTTAAGCTTTAAGCAGCTTTAAGCAGAAATCCATAGTTTTCTTTCTCAGAGGGCGCCACCTACAGGTAGGAAATGTACCACACTTAAGCCCCTCTGTATTTGCAGCTTTGTAGCAGCTCAAAAACGCTGCTCAGTCTAGGTACTTCCACAAACTTATGTGCACCTGCTCTGTGGTTGACTTTTGTATGTAAGCAGATGTCAAACGCTACTGGATATTGCTGAGCGGCGGTCAGTTCAAATTTAATGGGGCTGTACAGGATAGGGGGTGGGCCATAACTGACGTATTGCCTATCACAGTACAGGGTAAGACTATCAGTTTAATGGGTTTCTACAAACAGCATGCATCATTCCTGAAAAGGGGAAAACTCTGGATTTCTACTTTAAATAATCATGCAATAAAATTTTATAAAATAATGTTGCTTCAACTGCTGAGAAGTACTGAATCTGTTTTGGGGTGATGATATTCCACTAACTAGTGGTTAGCTTATCAATCATGTTAGATGTAAATTTTATTTCTCTGTACTGAGGCCAGTCTGGATGGTAGCTAGAAAAGATGAATTTTTTAAAACTTGTATACAGAAAAATACATGAAAAACTTCCTTCGGCTCTGCATCCAATAAAATCTTCCATGTAATTAAGCTCAACACTGGGAGGGGTTGGATTCTGAGGAAAAACAGCAGCCTCCCTAACTGCTATATTACACAGAAAAGATAGTGTAATCCAATAAATGGGAAGTTTATTGCTTCTTATTTGAAGGCAAAACTTCTCCGTATGCTTTCATTCTCAGAATGAAGGTGTGTTGATATATCTTTGAAGAGCAATGGACAAAAAATATCTTTTTCTTTATTTTAAACCCAAATGAAAAAAAATTGATGTTTTCTGAAGTAACATGACACCAACACATCTATTGTAGAATTAAAAAACACTTCTGTAATTATTCCTGATAGCATTAATATTATTTTACTGTATTGTGACAGTAATAGTGATGTGAGTGACAGATACCTGTTTGAACGTGGACTCGCCGCAGAGCGAACACTCTGAGCGTCTCCATCGGAAACAGATTTAACGCTGACGCTGTCGACTCCATTTTCTGGCTTCGGGGTGGGCTGACTGCCTTTCTTAGCCATCTTCATTCGTCTGCACACACACACACACACACACACACACACACACACACACGCACGCACGCATGCACGTGCACGCACGCACACACACACACACACAGGAAGGGTTTAATTTGCTGTACAACAGAGATGTCATGTCCATTGCTGTGAAGCCATTGCACCAGGTCACTCAGGTTCATCCTATAATTTTGGATCCTGCAGAGAAAATGTACTTAATGAAAGACATATTTAACTGACTTAATACTATTTTTCAAATTATTACAGTTTTGTTCATTTATTGGACTTTCCTCTCTTGTTTATGTAAAAATAATTAAATAATAAATTAAAGCACACTTTTGAAAGTGATTCTGAACCTACAACCTCATTTGATGTTTCAAATAAAATATAAAGTGACTCATCATCCAGAACACGAGCTTCTCATGTTACATACAGCCCAGCATTATCATGGTTCTGTTGATGTCATTTACTGGACTGACTGTGATGAAATTCTCTAGTTTTGATCCTTGTTATTAGCCTTTCATTTATGAAGGTCAACGCTCTTCTTGTGTGGCCGATAACAATCTCTCAATTATTGAGAATAATGAAAGATTTGTGCGAAGTTTACCCTGAGGCAGCTGTGTAAGTTATCTTCCATTAAACCACCTTAACATCTCTGATTTAACACACCGGTTTCGTGTGTGTTTGCTTTTCTCGATGCCTTCAGGAACCATCGGACTGCAGAGATGATGATCCAATTATTTCCTTATGAATTACATTCTTGGTCTCCAACAAATCAAATGAACATCCATTTGGGCTTTCCAAATGGTCTTATTTTAAAGTGGGCACTCATCTGCCTGCACATTTTTATTACGTTTGAGATAATATCATCCTGCTCTCTGAATTTTTCACAGAGCTTTAGAGGTCTGATTTGAACCCCCTTTGGTTTAGAATAGATCCATCACTGATTGTCACATTTAGAGCTGCTCTTGTTTAATTTTCCTCCATAAAACAATCTTCTGTTGATGATGTGTGCATTTCCTCAGCAGGCTACAGGCACGATGACGGCCAATCCCTGAGATTCCATATTTTCACTTCATGAACCAATATTTCCTATTTTATATTTTTGTGTCTTTGCTTTTTCCCCATTGATATTACATTCACATGGAAAATGTTGTTTATGTTACCTCTGTCTTTTATTCTAAGTGTAAATCACAATGGAGAACCCACTTGAAAAGGAGATGGTTCATCTCAAGTGGTTTGATCCTCCATATACCTCCATATATATATATATATATATATATATATATATATATATATATATATATATATATATATATATATATATATATATATATATATAATTTAATGTTTTCATTGTTTTCATTAGATTTTCTCAGGATATACATTTATTTATTTAAAAATATTAGGTCATCACAATTAGTGTTAAAATATACTAGTGAAAGAAAAAAAACAGATTACTATTTTACAATTATTACACATTTTTGGTAGTTAAACACTTACTTTAAAAACAACATGGGTCTTGTAACACATCCTTGGGGAACTCCAGAAGTTATTTTAGCATAAATAACAATATGATGATGATTTACAGAATATCTTTAAATAACTTTGTATAAATATGAGTTTATATCCAAGAGGTTCAGTGGCAACAGATTTTCCTGCTGAGATGAGTTCTTATATGTGGTACAATCCGTTCTTACCCCTTCTTTTTGGCACCATCCATAAGGCTGCGTACGGCGCTTCTGTTGGATTTTGGAGTGTCTGGTTTCTCTGGCTCAGATGAGACCAACAGATTCTCTGTGGACTTTATTTCTGTGGCTTATAACAAAAAACAGCAGTTTATAGTGTATAATAAAATCTGCACATTTCCTGCAGCACACTACCCAATATGCCTTTTCCACAGTAGCCATTATGGTTTGAGTTGTAATTTGCAATACATTAGTGGTCGAACTCACTTCGAGGACTGCTCAGGATGGAATTTTTGATGACGTCACTGCTCAGGGCTTTGTGCTCAAACCGTTTGGACCGCTCCTCCAGGAACCACTCTCCTGTCACCACTTTCAGCTCCCTGTCAGATAACAAACTGGACTAATATACTGCAACATTTTTTTTTATTTTAAAAATGTTGTTAATTTTACGCCTTGCATCACACAAAGATTCCTGAGGAACGATATTTTCCTTCTAGATGATCAAAGTTAATTTATTCTATGTTTCATGTTTTGTGTAAATGAGATAACAGATAAAATGAAAACATAGTAAATGCTTTAGCCCTCTGGAGGCAGGCGTTGCAGATTTACAATGTTAAAACCTACCTGGTTACTCCACATACACAAGCATTTTTTAACTCAGAAGTACCCCTGAAGGACTTAGTTGTTTGTTCTTTTATCAAAACTTATTTAGAGCCTGAGAGGGTTAAAAGTCTTTCCTCCTGCAGGTGACACTCACGAGATCTTGGCACACACGTTGCACCTCCACTGGCGTGAGCTAGCAATCGTGACGCGACACCCACCGCAGACACGTAGTTGACACTCCTCACACAGATCTCCACGGTCAAAAATCAGGCCCAGAGCCTTCAGGCAGCGGGCGCACTGACGCTCCCTGGAGTCCTGCAGGGGCTGACGAGGGCCCTTCCGTTTGATCTCCAGCAGTTCATTTTTTAACTTCCTGCCATGCAGATATAAAGAAGATGAGAAGACACACTACAGAAAAGAGCATGAGTTTAAAGATGACACTTAAATCCTCACCGTATCCTTTTCTCCTCTCGTTTCCTCAGCTTCTCATCTTTCTGTAGCACCTTCAGGATCACTTCTCTTTCATGCTCCAGCAGAAAAGAGAGGTTTAGTTGATCTATGGCCGTCTCCATTAGTCCCACAGTTTGCATTCAGCCAGAGAAATCAACCAAGTAAATATTTTGCATGAAGGGATGCAACTAAATCCACAATTGGCTTATATGCTCCAAAATGTTCTGCAACCAATCAGAGTGCCCATTTGCTTCTGGCATCATCCTCTTTCCTCTTTTATTTCTTCTTTTTGGTGGAAGAGAAGAGCCTCAAACAGGTGATTCGTCTCAGGAAACCTTGGCGAGAACAAGAAACAGAATATAAAAGCATATAAAACAAGAATGTGACAATATTAGCTTCATATTAAAATGTCCTCCCTCGCTTAGCTGTGGGTTTAAAAATCATTAATTAAAACAAGACAATACTTTTCAGTTTTAGAGGAGCTGCAGGGAATTTGTAGATATTTGACAGCAACTCAACAACCACTCATTTAGGTTGTAAACAGAGTGCAGCAGCCACATTTTTCTGCTTCCATTAGCAAAGCTCGACAGTCTATTACCCTGAAATCCACGACTAGACTTGTACTCATTATCTGTACACCTGCATACTCGTCCTCACTGCAGCATAACACTTATCTGACTAGGAAATGGGTCTTTCAGCACCTTTGGAGTTTGCATTAAGGATGGAAACGTCTCAGAGTGTGAGTGCATCACTGTGGCTGGAGGAGCTGAAATAAAGTTTGATCTCAGGTCACCATGAGGCATGTAATGGAGAATTTATTGGATCAAGTATTGGATGAATTGGCAATACATTTGATGAGCATAGATCAGAAGAATTTGAGATCTGTAGAGCCCTAAAAGAGCACCTTGTTTTGTGCACAATTTAGAATTTTAATCAATTTTGTTTTTTAATAATTAAAATTTGCAGTTTTTGCAAAAGAGTTAAAGAAAGCATGGCAGCAGTTTCTGGCTGGATTTAACTTTTGAGATAGTAACATATAGAAAACACAGGGCAGAAAACTCTACAGTGGATGTGTGTTCCACCAAGGGAACCGCAAACTCCCCCTCCTGTACTGTGGAAACGACGAGTGGTTCTGATTAACTCCTGAAGTCTATTAGAGATCACGTTCTTAGAATAATAAAACTCACCAACAATATGCCTCATCAAGTTGTTGGTCCTGAAACTAAAAAAATGTGTAGAAAAGAATAGAATAAATAAAATATAAATGAATAAACCAGCTTTTAAAGCACGTTAATCAGTAAAGTCTTAAGCTAATAAATGTAAAACATGGTGTCTAAATTAAGATTAAGGATCAAAATTCTGCTCTCACCAGCCTCCTTCAGCCTTCATTCATCCTCGTCCTTTCTTCTCTCGCCTCTTCCCTTCACTTTACATTAATTAACACTAATGAACCAACATCATCAAAACTCCATTTGCAGCCAAAGGCACATCAGTGATCAGAGCATTTTCAGCTTAACTCCAGCTGCTCCGTCGCCATTACCTACAAATAGTATGTACGATAGTGAAAACAATAAGAATTTACTTCATGCATGAATTATTTACAGATCTAAATACACCCGTTTTTTTGTTTCTTTTTCTTGTGCCTCCTTGAATTAGCCTGCAGCTACAAAGCAGCTCTGTGAAGCGGCACTCAGGCTCAGCGTTGCATGTGCTGAATACAAACACCACAATGAGGCAAAAATAAGATAAATGCATCCACTGAGCTCTCAGACCTTAATAATCTAGTCTGGGGTTTTGACATGTTCAAAGTCATCCTCACAAAAAGGCCAAGTGAAGCAAATAATCAAACTTTAACTGCTTGTTTGTTGGAAATCTAGTCTCCCCTGTAATTTAGTTCTGTTTTTGTGGTCTGTGCACATTTCCACGGCTAAAAGGTAAATGAAATACTGGAAAAGACATCAGACAGGTTGTGTCACATGATTTCCCCAATGTTCTAGGAAAGTATAACTAATACTGGGTCAATAGAGTTAAAAAATGAGTCTAATATTTATCTGAGCTTCTGCACAGCTACAGTGTTGGTGCATGTGTTTCTGTAGGGGTGGTGTCCTGAAGTTGCCCTCCCTGTGTACACACAGCACACATTCCCTCTGCCGCTCGCTCTGCCTTGAGTAAACACGACTGTGGAGGCTGAAAACTTTGGCGTCTCAGAAGAGGCAACACACTTGCTGCTCAGCGCTGCGCATATAATGTTGCTTGAAGGAAAAGTGCAATGACTCAGCTTTTTCAACTCACTGGCTTTCATCTTTCCCAGTGATCGCATAGCAGGGTTGTGCTATTCAAGTGTGATGGATTATGTGTTAGTGATCTGTGTTGGATCATGTTGCCACAAAGCCACGCTGTGGTCTTGTTGGTGTTTAGTAGCTTAGTGGAGTTTTACCAGCTGTCAGTCTGATGCTTTCTGCAGGTGGATGAGCTTACAGACAGAAGAATCCATCTGCTGAAGATCACAGCTAAGCTGCGAACAGCTGGTCTTCGGTTGGAGGAGCGGCAAAAAGACACTAGTGGAAAATTCATGCAGAAAAACATGTTTATACTCATCAATAACACCCAATTAAAGAGTGTAAAACACATGTCAGAATGTTTGTTCATTACAGCAGTGCTTGTTCTGATAACCAAGCAAGCTAACTTTGGCCTGTGTGGTCCCATATACAGGTGGTTGTACATTTATTTAATAAAATCACTCACAGTCAATACTGGTGTCACACAGGGCTGTTATCTCGGCCCCTTGCTGTACAGTCGTAATGACTTTGTGGTTAATTGTAGATGATTAAACAGTAAAAATAATTACATAAGAATGCTGTGATTTGCAGAGAAGTTATTATTATGTCACAAGAATTGATTCCCCCTGAACCCAGGAAAGAAAAACTACTTTGGGAATACTGAAAATATTCAGAGATCTATTGTTACGAGTAATTCAGAAACTTAAAAGATGTTAGTGTGTTAATTTTTTTTTAATTCTCAAATATGACAAAACAAAAACAAAAGGAACTTTATGTTCTGACATGTTTAAAAGACTTACAACATGAGCACAAGTTCCTGATCAAATTCTACCTGTCTACAACAAAAAGTATTCGAAATGGATAGAAACCAGTAAGAAATACCACAACATAATTTCATTACTAAATGATAAATGACCCTGCACTTGTATAGCGCTTTTCAGAGTCAGAGGAATCCAAAGCACTTTACACTACAGTGTTATCATTCATTCATTCACACACTGATGGTGATGAGCTACAATAGCCACAGCTGCCCTGCGGGCGCACTGACAGAGGTGAGTCTTCTGTTTCTACTAATGAAAACTGTGAAAACGTCCTCTAACATTATGAGGTCATCACTATTTTAGCTGCATCTCACACAGAGGAAATCATCCTAAATATTTGATGTTTAATAGCTAAAAGAAAAAAAAACAATTTAAAAGCATTGGCTGGGGAGAGGGCAGTCTGGGTCTGGCCACTGCCACCGCGACCTGACCCCGGATAAGCGGCAGAAGATGAATGGATGGATGGAAGGATGATATGTACTTTTTTAATTTGTGAGACAATAGAATTTTAAAATAAGTGAAACAAGAATGAAAACAACTCCAAAGCGATGCAGGGCTGTCAGAACAGCTTCAGTTCCTCAGTTCTGTCACTGGCTCTGATCTTGTTCTTCCTGTAACTATAAATACTGTCTTTTCACTGAGAAAACACCGAGATGACAATTTCCCCTTCTGAAAGAATCCTCCCAGTTTGTGTTTCACACCTAAGGACATCATATGCTTTGAATAAAGGATCTTCCTTATTTTGTTGATATCTTACAACTTTTGTACTGTCACCAAATCTCCCCAAAGACCAGAAATAAACAAGGAACCAATCCTGCTAACACGTGTTGCCTTTTGTAGCCAAAGCCGGCTTTGCTCCAGCTTTCTCCTCTGGCTCAGAGCATTGTCATTACAATGTTATTGACTTCATCATGAAGAAAAAGAAAGCTAACAAACAAATATTCTGATTATTACTCGGATCGTGGAATGTTTTATGGTACAGAAGATTCTTCTTGTTTTGTTAGAGTTGGTTTTCCCCTTAGGCCACATTGTTTTGCTCACCACCGATGCTGTGATTAAAACAACAAACATCTGTTCTCCCATGGTGTTTATCGTGTTGTCATTTGCTGAAATTATAAATTGGTCTTGTAGCTGAAACGTACTCCTCTGCGGACCTGTGTGTTGCTGCATCTAGCAAACACAGTGTAAATAACACTCTGTGTGCAGCCGAGACCAGGCTAAAAGCTTCATACTCAGTTATTATTATCACAATGAGCACATTTCTAATGTACATTTAGACCAAAACACAGTAAAACTTATGCTGAATCACAAGAAACAACAACAATCCCAACCCAATAGGGGTAGGGGGTGAGCAGCTCTGAGAGGTATAAGGGGGCTAGACCATTCAGGGCTTTGTAAGTAAAAGTTAGAACTTTGTGTTGAATTCGAAATTGCACAGGAATCCAGTGTAGATCCGTCAGAATGGGAGTGATGTGGCAGCGTTTATTTGCATTGGAGAGAAATCTGGCTGCAGCATTCTGGACTTTCTGCAGACGATTTAGGACAGACACATTTACACCAATTAGAACCGAGTTGGGAAAATCGAGTCTGGAATCACTGATTCTAAGTGTGGCCTCTTAAGAATGGGCTTTAGTCGGGCAAGGCGACAAAGCTGGAAGAAGCAGGATCGAACAGTGGCATTAACATGTGCACTCATTGATAAGTCAACATCCAGTTTAACCCCAAGGCTGGTCACACATGAATTAAGGTTTAGGGGGGAGAGATCAAAGGCAGCAGAAGTATGCAGATTATGTTTTGGTTTGAATAGAATGGCCTCGGTCTTATTGTCATTGAACAACAACAACATGTGTACAAACTGCTTCATTAACCATCATCAAATGGATCATTTAGTTCTTGAACATTTTCATGTTCTGAGCAATTAACTGTTGTCCATGTCAGTAAATTAAATCTCCACGTCTCTGTGAAAAACAAATGATAACATTCGGTTTGGTCTCATTTGGCCTTGAACACGTAATTTATGCCACATTTAACACAAATTCTTGTGAGGTGTTTTACACATGCAGCTGAAAATAAGCAACATGTGCAACTTAATTATGTAAATTGTGATGATTACGGTGAAACATAATATACTGAAACAGAATTCTTTAAGAATTGGGTGGCTAAACATTAAAAAAAGCAATGATACCTCGAATAAACACCAGACCACAACAACATGTTCCCATTTCTTTAGCTGAA